CCGTCTTCTTATGTAGAAACAATCTTGATACGGCGACTTTTGCCCGTCTATCTATGCACTCGGACGAGCCACAAGCACGATCATCCTAGAGGTGCGTTCGGGAGCTCACTATCAGCACTAAATAGTGTCATTCTATCCTTGTTGCTCACTCTGCGTCAAAGAGAGACGGACGATATTTTCAGCGTTAATAGAGAGCTCCGTGAACGTACCCTTAGGCGTAGAGAGAGCCATTGTAACCACCAGCACCAAGATCAGAAGGAATAATGTACAGTGCGGTGCGTTAATTGCCTTCGGGTCGCACTCTTTAAGGTTTTGGGAGTGAAAATAGAACCATGGAGTGAAATATTCGCTCATATTGGAGTAAATATTCATTCTAACAGAGTAAAGACTTGCTTCAATAGAGTGAACGTTGCACTCCAAAAACTTTAGTATTGTCAAAAGACATCTATGCTTAAATAATCAAGTAATTTTTGTCCATCCCTAATTGTTGCCCGAATTAATGCACCGCACTGTACGCGTGCGGTGAGGTAAGTGGGAACTCACTTGCACGGAACTCGAAACACGCACACACACAACGTACGCCCAACGTATACCTCTTACAATGTCACATTCGAGGTACTCCCAACTTCCTACGATCTAAGGGATGAGGGTGTGTCCCTGGGAAGGCGCTCCCGCGCGTTCCCAAGAGCCACGCGAACCAGCATTATGCAAGACCGGAGCTGTCTAAGTCGCACTTACATTACGGAGAAACAATAAGTACGGCGATAAAAGTGGACAAACAATAAACGGTAAATATTATATGAATGCGCATGCTCCGAAATAAAGAGAGGACAAATTATCGGACATAGATACACAGGAGAGCCTCCTGTATACCTGTGTTGTTCCCGACGTGGGTAGCGTCAGTTGCACAATGCTGGTAGAAGCTACCAGGTGATGAGTTTGCTGCTGATGCGTTCTATCGATAGATTGTACCGAGGTTGCGATTGCTGGCGCCGCGTCGCCGCTCTGGGAGCCCTGGGACAACGGATCGACGGCTGATCCATTTTCCTCGACCATACTTTCCATAGCCCGGCTACGTCGCGAGCTCTGCAACATAAAGCACTGCGTAAGACGAATGTCCAGGACGCGCGAGAGAGAGAAGAGTCCCTCCCTGGAATCGCGTATCCCGGTGAACGATTCTCGCTCGCTGTCAATTGCGCGACACGATGGAGTTTCGGGAGTCGGGAGAGCTCGGCGAGCGGCGAAGTCATTTAAACTTCCCGCCAGCGAGCGGGATGACTGCTACTGCGTCATTTACATAAGCGGAGCTAAAAATAATACGGGGTGGGAAGGGGGGCGGGGACAATAAACACGCGCTCGAGGTATTCTCTCTCTTTCTCTCTCTCTATCTCTCTCTTTTTCTCGCACGAACGGAGGGAATTGCCGTCCGGGTGTAAACGGCGAGGGTAACCCTCGGTCCCGCGCGCGTCCCGCCGCGGAAACGCGGCCCGCGGGTCGCGGATGTCACGGCCGCGCGGCGAACCCACCTCGTGTCCGGCCGTCGGGAGCCGCGTACGCGACGCGCGGGCACTCGCGTCGCCATATTTCGCGGCTCGCGTCTCGGACGTCGCGCGAGCGGACGAGCCGCGCGGAATACCGTGCCGCGTCGACCGCGCGCGCGGGACCGCGGGCGATACGCGCGACGGAGAGCGAGATCGCGAACGGCGACGCGCCGCGGACGGCCCGCTTCTACGGTGGTCTCTCTCTCTCTCTCTCTCTCTCGGCCGCGCGCGGTTTCCGCGGCGCGCCGTGGAGCAGCGTCGACGCTGGTCCACGGCCCGATTGTTATTATTCTCCAGCTGGGGCACTTACCAGTTACGTATTTCTCGTCACCAAGTTTGCTGCAATCGGAGTGGGCAGTCGGGCAGGTACGTAGCAGCCACGTCAAAACTCCAGTGGCTTCGTCACTGGTGGAGCCCACGACCTCTGAGTTGCGCGTCACGCTCAAGATGGCAGTCGCCGTCGTGATCGCTGCTGCCGCCGCTGCTCGACGCTGCCGCTGCTGTTGCTGGCTTTGACGGCCGACGATGCCGACGATGCTACCCGGGGCTGCCGCTGCCGCCGACGCCGTTCCTCGCTGCCGCTACGTGCTGTCGTTGCTGTCGTTGCTGCTGCCGACTCGCGCCGTCCCCCCCGTCCCCCGCCCCCTCATAATCTGATCTCGGCGCTGTGTCTTTTAGGCGCGTCGTGTAAGCGCGCGCGATCGCGACCGACCGCCCGCGACTCGCTCCGTCGCGCTCTGTCGCTCACTCCTTCTCTCTCCTTCCTCTCCTCGCGCGCTCCTCATTCGTCCCCGTCGTAAAAGAAATTTATAACGCGCGATGTTCATTGTATGTATATATGCGCATGTAATAAAGCCTAAGATTGCATTGCAGATTGTAAATCGCGTTGTACATACTACGCGCCACTTGTTTGTCGTGTCGAACGTCGGAATACGATCCGGTTACGACGGCTCCACGGACGTTTCGCGCATTTCTCACCACTCTTCTTTTTCCTTCCCCGATGTTCTACTCTTGCAGAAATGTGACAACTGAAAAAGTACTGAACAATTGCCGAACAATTACTCGAGTTCTTTGAATCCTGCCTGAAGCGGGGAGCACAAGTGCACAAGCATATGCAGAAGGAATTTGATTGGCTCGTTTCCTTCTGCATTTGGTTGCGGACCAATCAATTTCTTTATGCACATGCTTGTGCTCTTACGCCAAAGTGTGTGCTTCCCGCTTTTGCCCTTATTTGATCAGAACGAAATAGCACAAAACAGAGTTTGTCCTTTTCTACGTGAACCTCTACCCCCCCTCTGCTCAAATAAAGGCAAACGCTCGGTCTAGATATATTATGTCTATGGTCCTTCTTGTCCATAGACCATAGACTTGTATACTAGACTGCGTCATCCGTAGGAGGCGTCGGTCGTAAGCATAGACATATAAAAGATAGACTGCTTATGAGGTAGTGGGGGATGTCCTCCTGAGGGAAAAGGACAACACCAATTTATTTGGGTATCTATCTTCTTCTAGTGTACGTGATCACGTGGGTGTGATCACGTGATCGCCTTCGGATCACGTCCACTAGAGGAAGACGTATACCCAAATAAATTCATGCTGTCCTTTTCCCTCAGGAGGATGCCCCCACCTAGGGTTCCACTGCCTCATAAGCAGTCTATCCATAGACATAGTATATCTAGACTGCTGGTTCTCTCAAATTTCAGGAGTGGGGGTAGAGCTCACGTAGAAAAGGATGCACTCTGTTTCGTGTCTGTGCGTTCTCTCTCGCACAGGTTAGTAACTGCTTCCCCTTATCCCCTCTTTTCGCGTGTGCGAGAGAGAACGTTCAATGCACGAAACAGAGTGCATCCTTTTCTACGTGAGCTCTACCCCCACTCCGCCAACCAGCAGTCTAGATATACTATGTCTATGAGTCTATCTTTTATATGTCTATGGTCGTCAGATATAGAAAGAGAGGAAGAGTTGAACTGAGTCCATAGGCCTGTTCTTTATTACTGCACTACTGAACTAGTGCAATAAGTTAAAATGAAGCAAATAGATTACCTCTCATTCCAACTCATTGCACCAGTGTGCACTAGTTCAGGAGTGCAGCAATAAAAAACAGACCCAATGTGTCCCCACTCTTAACACACCGAGAGAGAGAGAGAGAGAGAGAGAGAGGAGGGGGGGGG